AATGAATTACTAAGTGGGTTGAGTCCAGAACAAGGCCAAAGAATCCTATACCCTCTTGGCGTATAAGAGTATGTTTCCTTTTTTTTTTAAGTTTCCTTCTGCTCTTTAAACCTTTTTCCTTGCAAAAAATATACTAATGGCAGCTCCTCCTGAGGCACAGATTATTGAAACAATATTTCTTGCACTACCTAGTTAATTAATTAGCACCCCCACATTTTTCATTGATTAAAAACCCCTCCAATATTAGAACAGAGATGAACGAACAGATGATCTGAACAAACCCCCTGATGTTTCCTCTCCTGCCAGGACTTCACTATCTGTATTTACTGAGAGCTGGAAATCAAGAGTTGCTTTTGAAAACTTCTCATTTTCCTACACGTTTTCATTAGCTCCAATGGTGACAGAGGTAACTACTTTACCAGGTCGTTCCAACTTTGGAGTAGGTTTACAAAACATGCAACTGCAAGGGAAGAACTTTGACCGCCTGCCAAGTGGTCCTGACATAACTCCCCCAGACATTTTAGAAACCGAGCATTTTGCAGAAGGTCAAGTTTTCACTCTAATCATTTGCACAGCGAAGGGAAAGTCTCAGTTCCTTCAGACGTCTGGTCAGTGCTTCAGAGTTTTTCTGCATTTCAGATAGGAAGAGATACACTACTTGGAGCATCTCATAGAAACAGCTAACTACTCATACCGTGTCACTGAGCAACCGGCATTTATAGGCAGACTGGAAGAGACATCATGCATTACTAAGAGCAGCAGTTCATCTGTGCTAATTCCTCCACTCCCCCTCCCCAAGTACAGCCTTCCTTCCCTACCTTTGCTATAATACAGCTGCTGTTGGCTCTTGCAGAATGTTTATGCTATTAAGGATAATTACTATCTCCAAGAATTCATCCAAGGGACAACTGTTTGGGTCTCTGACCCGACTCCCTCTGCCAGTCTTTTCCTACAATACGTAGTTATGCTGCCTTTTTGTTTTGGGCTGTTGTACTGTAAAGGTCTGCAAAGGACTTTCTGGAGGTAATTACCTTCTGTTCAGACAGTACAAGGTGTTGTTTGAATTGTCCAGTTCAGAAAAGCTGTTATGCAGTGAGTGGTACTGGTCCTAAGCTTCCTGTCCAAGAAAAGATCCCCTCTGCCAATCCAAACAGCTTAGCTAATCAATGAGAAATGATTTACAGGATGACAAATTCTGCATCATCTCAATGCAGAGCCCAGGCAGTTTCGAATGTCACCACATTTTCCACGTTACCAGTCAAAACCCACATTCTTCTCACCAGTGTGGTGGTAAACTGCTCTACTTTCTTGTCTTAAGAAAAATCTGCACTAAGGAAGCAGCTATTGTCAATACAGTTTCTTTCAATCTACGTCCAGAAATCTTCATTATCTTGTATTCTCTTCACCATCCTTCAGATGCTCTCTCACATTACAGCCCCATTTGCAAGGGCTCCACACAGATGCCATCAATGCTGCGTCCTGTTGGCCATGAGGGAAGCTACAGGATACACTCAAAGGTGAAAAATTTATTGTTTCTGCCAACTGCAATTCAGCCTAAGCCTAAAACAAAACCGAGGTCTTCCCCCACGCTAATACCCAAAACCACTGTTAAGCAGATGTGGTCCAGCATGACTGACTTAAAAAAGCTTTTTTCTGAAGCATTAAATCTGAAAGGATGGTTCTTTTTTCAAGAAAATGCAGTTTTAATGCAATTTTACAGACTATCACTGCACCCTGTTTCTTGCAGGAAGGGGAGTACAGTGGCTGATCAGTTTAAAAAGATGATGGTAAGACATCTCGGGTCTTGCTTTAAGTAATGAAAATGCCACAGAGAAGTAAAGGAGGAGATCTGACAGGTATTTTTTTGTTTGTTTTCTGTACAAGAAGGTAACTTGAAAAATGAAGCCAAAAAAGTATCTTAGCTTCCCTCATCCCAAAGGCAGTTAGGCTCATTCCTTTCCTTCCTGAGGAACAGACTACAGTCTATGCTGAAAACAACAGCCAGTCAACGAGAAACGCTCAGATCTGCCCCCTCACACAGCCAGAGCACATCCAGCATTTGCTCTTTTCTACTTGGTTTTAACATTTAAGCATTGGTTTTAATTTAAAACCAGAAGCTTTAGCTACATTTCATTTCTTAGCCCATCTGGTTAAGAACCTATTTCTGTGGATAGTTTGTCACCCATCTTCATTCCACTAGACAGTATTTGTGGTTATGTGGTCATTTCCTGTGTCTCTAGGACCAAGGGGGGAGCTAAACCATCTTGTCTTGGAAGCAAAGTAATGTGTTTCACTTTAATTCTATATAAAGTTACACCAGAGATAAACAATGGCAGAGCTGTTGATGACTTTTACAGGTTTAAGTTCTCACATGCTCAATTTCCTTTTAAAGAGGCAACATGTTGCTTCAAAGAGCCTCCCACCTGACCAGGGGACACTGGGTCTGCAGCTGTTTCTACTAAAGATCAGCACCTCTAGGCCAGGCTTGAACTTCATAACAATAAAACATGAAAGGTTTATCTTACAATAAAAACAAACGAACATGGAAAAGCTAAGGGCTTGATCCATACCGGGCACATTTTCCCCTCCCTTTCTTGCATGACAGACTCTTTGGTGGAAAAGGCCACAGGAAAGAGTACAACACATTTATCACCTCCTCTGACAGTTTAAAATGTTTAACTAGAAAAACAGTCTCTCTTCCACCCTACATCTATCACTTCAGTTTAAACTCATTTACACTCAGCATCAACAGGGGACAGGAGGGTTCTGTGGACATCTCACTCTTGCTCCTCAGTAAGCGTCCCAGCCGTAGGGACCAGCACAGCCACACGGAATTGGTATTAGGCACAAAGCCCAGTCTTCACAACTTTTTCATTCTACTTTTTTTTTTTTTTGGCTCACACAACTTCCAAGAAAAATGTCATGGTACCTCTCAAATTAATCTAACACACAGAAGAGCACGCGCCGCATACCCAACAGGACATCATAAAAGTGTCTCAGAGAGAAACACAAATCTTCAGGATGGGCTCCTGCCCCGTAAGAACATCTGGGAAAAGCTTTTTCTATAAATTTCATCAAAAGTCCCTCCAACAGCGATACTACATGGTTCTTTCCTAGGCTACCCAAGTAGCTCTGGGCTGAAGCAGCTATTAAGACTGCCACACCTAGCTACACTTTTCTTCAATAGCTCAAAACTTAAAATAGAAGGAATAAAATATGCTCCCTGACATCTGGCAAATGTGTTGCTGTTACTATAGCAGCTGGAAGTTTTTAAACTACTTAATAGTTTTCTTTTTGTCATCAGATTATTTTCCTCTGCCGTTTCTTACACACAAATACAAAATACAGAGCTTCAGCCTCTTCTTCTTCAGATTCTGTTAATTTACAATTAAAAGAACTAAAGGATTGAAATAAAATGAAGATGGCCTCTTGTTCTAAGAAAAGAGCAACCACTCTGTACAGACAAGACTCTCTAAAATAGGTCAGGGACTAGTCCCAACAGAGATTTCTTCCCAACTAGAAAGATAGCTCCCATTAAGATCAAGAAAATCTACTGAGCTCAGTTAGCTCCTCTCTGGGGACAGCAACAGCAACAGCTCCAAGGTCCAACAGCAGATCTCATCCATGAACCTGATGCACTGGAAGTTTCAAATGGGCATCAGCTCAGGCCAGCACTCAAATTTGCTGTAGGTAAGGAAATACCCAAGAAAAGCCAAGATCTTCAAAACAAACAAAAAACACAAGCAACTCTCAAAACTGTGTTCTCCTTGCTGTTGTAGGGTGTCCCGTCCTGCACCCCTCCCATCCCACTTTAAGAAGATACAGCCAATTGTTGCACAAAAGTGGTGAGGAGATCCTTCTTCATACACCAGGACCTTTATAGGCAGCACTTAGCACCAGTTAGAAATCCGAG